CTTCTTTAGAACCTTCGGGACTGTTTTGGTTCCATGTGATTGAGTGGGGAACAGTTTTGGATATTTTGAGGGGGTGGCAAGATGTGCTCAAGTTGGTGGTGGGTGTGTCACACATCCTAAACACGGTGAGTATTGTGGGCAGATAAGAGGCTGACCTTTAATCACGTTTTGAAATCATAATTGACTTTATACACAATATGAAAAAATAAATACAAAAGTTACAGTTCTTGTGCACTGTTAGCCAGATATATTAAACAGACTCTTATCATGGAAGAGCCACAGTGGTTATAGATTTAAAACACAAACACCTACACGCTTTGATGAATGGAAGCCACCCGACCAATAACTCTTAGTGTGAGAGGCTATCCCTGGCTCCTCAACCTCAACCAGTATTTGTTTTATCTCTATAAACCCAGACAAGTTTAGCAGCAACGTCCCAAGACCTATACAGTACATCGTTAGTAATATATTTCTCTCGTCATTTTATTTTTTCATCATATTCCTGTTTATCATGCAATTCACTTTATTACATTCGCATGCAAATAAGTGCAAAAATACGTCCATGTACACGCACACTATATCCCCTATGCCCCAATACAATCATGCCCCCCCCCCCCCGGGTAATGTGTTATACTTTGCATCATCACGGAAGCAGCCTTCTGTTCCTACATTATTTAGTTCCTTTTTTTTTATTGAACTCGCTATCAGTTCGACGGTTTACCTTTCTCATCTATTCTATTAATTTCTTTCTCTAACTCTTACAGCTTCGGGTTAAAAGAATCACCCATCTACTAATCTGTCTTCCTACTTTTCCTACCTGTTGTCTTTTTTTTTCCTTTCCCTTCCCTATAAATTACTCATTTTTCTTCTCTTCTTTTAACTGTTTCCTCGTCTTTCTGTCCCTCTTTTAATTATCTATTTGTAACATTTTTTTTTATTATACGCTTCCCCCCTCCATCTACCCCTCGAGGTTGACGCTACCTTTCATATTGATCTGATGTAAAAAACTTGAACTTTCTTTTCTTCCAGTCAACGATCATGTTAAGACTTTCGCTTTCACTCACTGTAAAATCTACGGGAGTCCAACACCTCAGTCTACACACGAGCTGGTCATCAGTTACTCGTTCCTTACACTCTATAATCCCTATATAATTCCCCGACTCATTCTATAATTATATTAGCGACACATTAGTACGATTTTACTGTCATTAGTGTCTGGGTACTGAACTTAGTCCACACATGAGAATCGCAGAGGTTAATCGACATAAACAGTGAGTAGTTACCGGGTATAGCGAAGACGATAACTCCCTATACCAACTTACTCGATAACGACATTACCAACTAGGATAGCGAAAACACCATCCTATTCGCTTAGCACTTTGGGTTAGACTCGTAAAAAAAAAAAAAAAGTTGGATTCATATATTTTTGTACAGGCTGTGAAATTCTCATATGTTTAATACCAATTACTCACACAGCCTTTGTTCAGGATTAAACTACACCTTTCACTTCTACCTCTTTCCTGTCTTCACCACGCACACCCCTCCCCTTTTCCTCGTACAGTCAATTCTCAGACTTGTCTCTCCTACGTATATACAGTACTCTTAAATCTCACCATAGTCTCTCCCTTATCTCCCTCCCACCATAGTCTCTCCTTTCTCCCCCTCCCCACCATAGTCTCTTTTCTCCCTCCCACCATAGTCTCTCCCTTTATCTCCTCCCACCATAGTCTCCCTTTATCTCCCCTCCCACCATAGTCTTCCCTTATCTCCCTCCCACCATAGTCTCTCCCTTATCTCCTCCCCCCACCATAGTCTCTCCTCTCCTCCCACCATAGTCTCCCTATCTCCCTCCCACCATAGTCTTCCCTTATCTCCCTCCCACCATAGTCTCCCTTATCTCCCACCATAGCCTCCCTTTATCTCCTCCCACCATAGTCTCCCTATCTCCCTCCCACCATAGTCTCTCCCTTTATCTCCCTCCCACCATAGTCTCTCCTTATCTCCCTCCCACCATAGTCTCTCCTATCTCCTCCCACCATAGTCTCCCTTATCTCCCTCCCACCATAGTCTCTCCCTTATCTCCTCCCACCATAGTCTCTCCCTTATCTCCCTCCCACCATAGTCTCCCATCTCCCTCCCCACCATAGTCTCCCCTCCCACCATAGTCTCCCTCCCACCATAGTCTCTCCCTTATCTCCCTCCCACCAGTCTCTCCCTTATCTCCCTCCTCCCTCCCCACTAACCTTGTCTCCCCCTACACTTGCCTTCACACACCGACACTTTCTCAATTCTTTGTTTCCTTCTATAATATTGTTGCATTGATACCATTCTTAGTCCCCTTCCTGCCTCCTAGCTACACCCATCACTCCCTCTCCTATCCTACTAAACAAACCAAGTCCTCCCTTCCTCTTTCCCTCCAAACAACTAACTCTCCCCTCTTTCCCTCCAAACAACTAACTCTCCCCTCCCTCCCTCCAAACAACTAACTGTTCCCTCCCTCCTTCCCTCTAAACAATCAACTCTTCCTTCCCATCCACCTACTCCTCCCTCCCACCACTCGACCAGCACTGCACTACACTCCCCAGACCGTCCGCACATACTGTACTTAACCCACCAACCAGCACCTTCCCAGCACTACCCTACCCTGGCCCTCAGCACCTCCCCAGCCAGAGAGACCCCTCCTGCATATCAATAGCAGGTGACACCGTCGGTCGGCCATTCATACCTACCTCGGCCAGCCACCAACTTTCTACACTTGTGTGGCTGTGCCCTCCCACCTCCCTATAGTGATACAGTATTTTTTATCATTTATTTCAAGTTTTAGTTTCCATATATACAGAGATATTACATATTATATATGTCTGTGAAATATGTGGATGATTTTTTTTCTTTTATAATACATTTGATCATCATTTTATTATAACATGTCCTAATTTTAATAAAGTCTATAGTCTCATCAACATTAATTTTCCTTTCTACTTAACCAAATACAGTAAATATAATCTAACATTAGCATGATCACTGTATTCTTAAACTGTAAAAATAAAAATTCTTGACGCAGGTCAGTCTGGCATCTCTTTCATAACGTCATACGAGTTAAGTCTCCGGGCTCAGTACACCACAGATGGCGAATGTCAATATTGAACATACTAGTCAACATCCACCATGTACCCTCGAGTGATGTATAGACCACTACCTGCTCTCCACGAGTCTTAACTGTACATTATACACAAGCACACATAATAAAACAAACTCTAATGACTAATATTGAATCTGTGGCCTGTAGTGTACCCAACGTATACAATAAATATTCATATGTATTAATATATAGCGTGTGTAACTTCATTGGTAGGCATCACCGTAACTATGTATGAGGCGAGATGTGCATCAGTCACCAACCATCATACAACACATCTGAGAGGCAAGAATTGATCGTCTCATCGAGAGGAGTTTTCAAATCTGGCAGTCCGTCTGACCCACTTTTTTGCGCGGTTCCTCAAGCGTGTAACTGATGCCCGGAATGTTTGCCGTGCTTGACTTTACTTCCCATTTGCCCTCCCTCTCACACCTCCCCAGTCACTTTGCTACACCTAAGACCGAACCCACACAGACAGACAGACACACACACACACACACACACACACGTGCAGACAGATAAATATAGACAGACTGAGACGCTAAGGTGCAAATAGGGGTCAGACGGATAAGCCATAAGGAAGAGTGGAGTGAATAAGTGGATATATAAACTAAAAGGGGCGAAACACACACACACACACAAACACAAACACACACACACACACACACTACACAAGAAATAAACACACACAATGCACATAAACACAATCATTATCATAGGAGAAAAAATGCACACACGAGCAGCAAAGGACAACACTGACACAGACAGACTTACAGACGGACAAACTTGACACACTTAAAAACAGACTAACAGACGCACAATCTAAGAATGTTAGGGACACGGGACACACACACACACACACACACACACACACACACACACGACACAAAAACGATGAGATAAACAGACGGGCAAAACCGAGTGTGTGTGTGTGTGTGTGTGTGTGTGTGACAGACAAACACAGACAAGAGGGTGTGGTGAGACAGACCCAAGCTCACACGAGTCACCAGGGAAGAAGCTCCACCCCCATCTCCTTCCTCACACAAACACTGCTGTTAGTAAGTTGGTCCTCACAGCGGTCCCTCACACGCCTACCCCATCTCTCCCTCCCCCTCCTCCCCCTTTCTTCTGCTGCCTCTCCTACTTCACCATTAGCTACAACTGCTGCAGGTAGGTCTTGGATGCCCATTACCGAACTAGCTGCTGAGTTGTGTAGCCACAGCACCTGGTTATACTATGGCCAGGGCCAAGTGACTAAGGTACCCAGTAGCTGTAACATGTGGCCATAAGTCTCGATAGCAGTAGCACTGTAAGCCAGATAAAACAGCTGAGTGGTCACATCATGTATGGGAGCAGTAACACTGTGGCCTGGGATAAGAAGCTGGGTGGCAACAATCCCCAGCAGCAGTAGAAGTGTGGTCCTAGCCAACAGTTACCTGGCCATAGCAGCAGTATGTACTTATGGGGTCTCAGCACCAGCAACTCTGTGGCCTAGGCCAAGTAGTTACGTGGCTACAGTACTTAGTAGCAGTAGTATTGTGCCCTGGACCAAGCAGCTATAGATGGCCATGCTACCCAGCAACAACAGCATGAAGCTGCCTGGCTATGGTGTCCACTAGCAGGGGCAGCTTGGCCCGGGCCGAGCGAGTGACCACCGTACCCATCAGTAGTACAGCCCGAGCTGAAGAACTGAGTGGGCACAGTACCCAGCAGTAGTAGCTGCGAGGCTCGGGCCGACAAGATGAGAGTCCACAAACCCAGCAGGAGCAGCGTAGCTCAGGTCAGCAGGAGCACTCTGCAGTACCCGGCAGGAGAAGCAGCAGGACGCCCAAAACACTAGGTAGTCACGGGTGAGCCACCTTAC